TCTCATGTACAACCTGATGTTCGCCAGAAGACAGTTTAAAATGTTTGCTTACCATCAAATGTCACAAGAATTTGCCTAAGTTGTGACACTAAAATGAGTGGAATTCAACCGTTTAGATTCCATTGAGAGATTCACTACACTTAATGACAGTCAAATTGTCAGGCACGTCACTCCTGCAAACTTAGCAAACAAGACAGATTTCACCTACAGACTGAGGATTCCAAAAGTCCGTGCACGTGTCGAACTCCCACGTTCAAAAATGCGCGGAAAACCGCAAACATTTTTCGAAGGCCGTGTGTGGCGTGCAGGCAGAGTGGCCTTGGTGTGTCATAATGTTCATGTTCCACGGTTGGACAGGGCATGCACCACACTGATTGAAATAAGCCATGCTCGATCACCCAGTAATCGCTCCCAAGTCAGCAATCAGGAAGGGGCTCGGGGACAGATATACGATCGCTGTACTCAAAATGTTGTACAAAAGGGTCGCGAATCCATCTTCCTCTCCACGTTTCTAAGCTGGTATTTTTTTCTGGGAGCCACGAGAGGGTTGTGCTTGCCCCGGAGAGAGACGCTTGTGTGTCATCACATGACAATGACACACTAGTTGACCTCTCATAAACTTTGGCGATTACTAAAGCGCACGCCATGTGCATGGCCAATGAGGCAGCGAACTTGAAACGTCGATTGCTTATACATCATCTGTCTGTGTACATTATGTGAAGCTGAGATGTTCAGCTTATGACTGCATCGTTGACGCTGCACTAACTTCTGAGAGCCGTCAAGTTAACGAATATCCCAGGACACACATGCCTCTAGAAATTTCTTTTTAGGTGGGGGTGGGCGTCAGCGTTTCGGGCCCAGACTGAAAACAATAAGATAGTTTACTTATTGAGGGAAACGCAATCATAAGATTAATTCACTGATTAAAAGAATTCGAAATGTTTGTTTTCCGAGTGTCAATACTTCCTGAGATGAATCTACAGTCATTAATGACATGTTTAATGGTCTGACTCCAATCTGTTTTTGTGAATCATTAATTACCACATAAAACGACGCTAACTATTACACCGGTATTACGTAATTTAAACATCGTCTACTTAATCCATCATGTCATTTGAGCAATGAATCACCTGTGGTAATTAAATTTTAATTAATGGCGCTACGGTAATGAGTGGCGTAAGGCAGAAAGTGTCATTACAGCTATCTGGTGCAGACAATACAGATTTTACGGACGTCTGTGTTTATTACAACACAAATTTATCATCACATGGAATTACGGTAGAAAACAACGTTTTATGAACCGTTTCTGAAAATATTTTATTAATTTCCAAAAATCAAAACAAATAAAATTTCTTGAAACACTTGTGATATGAAGGGAGCGGCGTTAAACAGACGGCGGAAACAACCGTCTTTCATAGCAGACGCGCTGCGACAGGATTGTGTTGAGTCGGTGTCCAGAACGTCTCACACATAAAACATGCCTATAATCTCACGAATGTGGCCTTGTCATTCCACCACGTCACCCTCTGACTACGCGACAGGCTAATTCGCGTTGGCAAATTATGTTCCCATTTTCACCTGCCCGTGGGAGCATGCAGGAGAATCCTCATAGTCTTTGGACTTTGGACTTAGCAGTGAAATACACTGACGTGCAATGAACCCTGGATGACCATGTACACGTGGTTCGCTGCCAATACTGCTGAGGACAATTTAGTGCCGTTTCCCACTCTGGCAAGGCAGCATTATTAACGCACCATCACGCGACGATTTTCCGGCTGCGTGTTTCGGCATGAAGCCGGCCCATCCTTGTTGAATTCATGACATGCTCGTCTACGACTGTCGGGTTAGAGATAACACTTTCTGCGCATGAGACTATTGTCCATTAACAAAAAGGCCCTTCACCATTGTATTCACGAGGTTCTCTCGATGTCACCCAATTGTAAACTGTACATATGAAGCGAGATATGAGAAGGAGAGGGCCCCCCGCTCTGTGTTGGTCGTTGTTTCACCGGAATCTGAGGAATTCTTTTCAAACACTTAAGGGGGATGTGTTAGGTAACAATAGTCTATAGTGTATAGTGTATATAGCGATTGGAGGCGTTGGGGGTACTCCTCGGTGTCATTTCTTGCTGGATATACAATTGTCTTCATCAACTCCTTGCAACTGTTGACCTCACTATTTTAGGCCCATTTAGCATGCGCATTGCCGACGTTCTCAATCACATGATCTTTTCCCATAGCTCTCCCTTTTTTTTCAACGATAGCACAGGGCTCACGCCTACCACTTTCAGTATTTGTATCCAAACCCTCACATACAAAATTGGCAAATTCTTCGAAAGGGGATCCCATCGATGGGTGTACACACCTGATGTGCCCCGTTTGCGATTGGTGTTTACCGGTAAGCTTCACACTGCGGTCTAGTCAAACACCTTCGAGAGCGAAATGTTTGCTTTAAATAATTATCGGACGCAGTCGAAGCCAAGTTATTTCTCAAACTGGGATGAATCTTTCAACAGAGGGCGTTCCGTGTTGGTGCGCTCGTATCGAACTCGTATGCAAATACCTAATGTGTGCTTCCGAAACGAAAATTGACATTACGGAGCTGGTACAGGTTTGTTTTGACTGCATTGTTGATATCCATATGGTGGTCGCTGTGCATATTAATCTATACTTGTGTAGATACCGGTAATGTCGAACCGTACCTCATGCCATTACAGGCGTGAATATTGCGCTTTTCCGATCCAACCTGTCAATACGTGATTTCCTGACAGGCGTAAGCAAGCAAAGTCTTATGTGTACCGTTTACACAAGCCCGTGTGTGTGCGCGTGTGGGTTTGCTCTAAAACAGTCGGGAAACAGGCAAACATTAAACCAATTGCTATTATCTGCGCCCGGCTGAGCTGTGTTTGCTTAATTTAAACCTGAAGCAAAGGATGAACATAGACGATTCCACTGTCAATTAAGCTCCCAGGCCAATTTTACTTCGTCACTGTAAACTTGATTAAACATTCATGAGGTTAAATCTCTGAGGAAATGTCTTTCTCCCATGCGTGAACATAATGTTTTTTTTGTAAGTAATAATAATAATAACAACAATATAGGTATTTATAGAGCGCTTTTAACATGGATCAAAGCGCTGTACATCAAAGGAAAAGACAATAAAACAACAAAAAGGCAAAGGATTAATGACAAGGCTGACTGATGACGAAGGTCTTAAGATTTTTCTTAAAGACTGCAGTTGCTGGTGATTACCTAATTGTTTTGGGTAATGTGTTCCACTCTTTTGGTCCAGCGAAAGTAAAAGACTTGGAGCCGGCCGGCAGAATGAATACGCCTTTACTCACAGAGAAGAGATTTATCAGAGCAGGACCTCAGACCTTCTCTACCAGGGGTATAAGAGGACAGGGGATCAGAAAGATAATTAGGAGCAAGACCGTGGGAGCATTTACAGGCATAACGAAGCAACTTGACAAGAACTAGACCCAGAATAGGCAGCCAGTGAAGTTGGGAATGCAGATTGAAAGCACTAGCACAACGGGGAGCTAGAAAAATCAGACGGGCTGCACCATTTTGGAGTTTTTGAATTCTGTTTTACGACAAACCAAGTCAATGGGACTAACAGCGTTATGTACATGTACGAGCAAAATAATGTCACCACCCCCTCTGCTCTTACCATTCAAGTAAGCCATTTTACCCGGACATGCTATACAAATGATTCGAGATGTTTCTCGTCAGATCCAGTGGCTGCGTAGCCGTGTGAACGGATCAGTCCTCTCATTGGCAGGAGTTATAAACAAACATGGAAGTATCAACGCGTGTGCTTTTACATAAGTACTTGGGAAATATTACACCGCTTTACTGTGCAGTGAAGTGACCCTACTATTGACGAAAATACCGGGTCCTGACCCTCTCCGTACGGACAGTGATCCCGTGCCTGTTGTCATTTATTTACAAAAATTATGGTTGTAAAGCAGAGTATTATTCTCATTGCATTTCGAATTCAGTGTGGTCGAGTATAGCAGGAATACTCCAAAAACTCCCAGCGAGCAACACGAGGTCCTAATCCGACCGTATCGTATGACCTCGCCAGGACGAATGCGTTAGAGTTGCTGGACCGCGGATATTCCCCAAACTGGATAGTAGATGAATATTTTAGATCATAAAAAATACCTGGTTCCATCCGGACCTGTGTCAGACTGGCCTAGTAATCTGGTTTAAGACCGGAAAGACCTCTTCCATAACTCATCTCATAAATACCGTAACAAGGGTATTATGCAACTCGGGTTTTGAGTCATGAACTTGGTTCTAGGGCAAATAGACCTGTATTTTTTATATGCTTTTGTCCTGGATGTCTTATATCATTTCTACTCTTCATCTACTCTACATATTCTTGTTAATTTTGTGATGCGATATAAAAATAAACAATATCATACCGATCATTCCACAAATATTTTAGTGATAATAAAACCTATTTATGTAACTTCTCCAATCAACGGCTGTGGCATAACTATTACCAGTAAGTCTGGAAACCCTCCAAACTGATCTCATCCTGATAATTAGGCCTAGTTACTTTTTCTGGGAAATGTCTCAGTCACATTCCTATACAAGTTGTTGCATCTACAGCGGGCTAGGCCACCGGCAGGCAGTAGGGCAGAAAGACACACACGCTCAGTGTAGTTCCTGAAAAATTCTTTCTGCCCGAGTTGTTGAACTGGTAGCATATCGACATTCACTGTAGTTATTGATCGCTGATGCCACTGAGATATAATGGTGTTTTCTCTCGCTGAGACATCTTTTGCGTAGGCTGCATTATCCGTGCCACCGCATCAACCAATCACATCTAGGCATTTACTCAACACCAGGGCGTCGAGGGAGGCACGTCGCTCTGCCGAAGGGAGGAGAGCTAGCGTATGTTTAACCCGCTGCATTCGGCCGCTTATTCATTAGTAGAGCACCGCTCGTAGCAAACGCTGACGGACAGTTTTGTTAATTTTGTACAGGAAAGCGAACAAGTGCACCGGACGGCACCGTGCGGCTGCAACAGTGCTAGCGTACCAGACACTGGGAATAGACGCTGTGCTATCAGGGTGCGATAGCAGGGATGACCTCACGCGTACGCACACCTGACTGGGGTTCAGCGTAACTACAAGTGGAATATCATTGGAACCGAACTTGGAATATACGAAGAGGGAACTCTGTACTTCAATCCGCAGCTTACCACAACAATAGATGCACATTTGACTGGCTGAATTAACGCACCGTTATAATCCATAAAACCCAGAGAATTGTACCTTGGCGTCATGGATTTCTACTGGGTCGGATTTTTCCTTTGGATGTGTTGTCTTCCAACCGTCCTGACCCGACCAGAAACAGTCAGGATAGGTGAGTACCAGCGTTTAATTTTCAAAAGAGCGTCAACCCCCCCCCTAATCTCGTTTTGGAAGTTGTGAAAGCCTCACGGCCACCTTCTTCAAAGTCTATTGATTTCAGAGTGGCTTGTGTTTCACTTCGCGATGGTTTCTCTGCCTTTCAGTCGATACGCCTCACAACGAGCAAACTATTCCTTCCGGAGTTGATCGCTCTTTTCTGGTTCACAACTGCCAGAGGCCGTGGGTATTGGGCCAAAACAATTGGCAGTTTGTGTACCTGTGGGTTGTTGGGTGCCTGGATTACAAGCCGACTCGGGAGCTTGATACTTGTCCATTGCTAACAATGAAAATCACTTGTTCGTGTTATTTCTCTTGAGTCCCCCAGTAATTGAACGCAAACATGGTTTCAGTTTCGGGGATGAGGCAGCTTCTGGGATGTCTTTGTCTTTTGTTTTTTAAATTTGAAATTAACCAACCCAAATGAAATTTTTCATTAATAATTCATTTACCTTAAGTTTACGTATATACGTGCGTGTTGGTGTTTGCTATACTGAAAACGTGTCCAGGCTTTTTATTTAAATCTCTACCTATAAATGGAATCAGTGTTTGCAAAAAAAAGAGAAGAAAAGAGTGCTGTTGATTCCGAATCCGTTGTAATCCTCCGGCTATACTTTGAGCCGTGTACATGTTTGTCTCACTTAGCAAGCACACGGGATGTCATGCTGTTTGCATAGGCTTGTCTGGCCTGCTTTCAGACACCACAAGTTGAATACCTAATGGCTATATTTGGTTTATCGACTAGCGCTGAATCCACCCGATGTATTTTGTTTTCACTGTATCTGGTTCTGTGACGGTGGAAATTCTATATCCACTAAATGAAGCCCGTCTTCTGGGTTTATGTGGCTGTAGACTATTCCATGCATCCTTTTAAACGTGACATGCTCAATTATTGACGATTCAATGCACTGAGATATGTTACTATACTCGGAGGGTATGCACCGGTTCTTTTTGTCCTAAAATAATTATGAGCCTGTCAAATCCCAATATACCGGTAACCGTCTTTTTTTTCTTAATATTGTACTATTTTCCCTGGACAAGCTCATTCTGCATGCAATATTCATCTTGTTATCAATCACGATGAGTTGGCGATGAAGTGAAAGCTAACGGGCGTTTCCCCCGCGAAATCAATTCTTCCATTTCGATTGGATCACGCAGTGTTTGTCCCAGACGTTCAGCGGAGTTGATGGAACGGATTGGCATTTGCATATAGAGTGTTTTGAGTAACTCGGCTTTCTTTGAAATAAACTAGAAAATGGACTCGTGCAACAAAAGAATTGTTTTAAAAGAAGCTACCGAAAAACACTTCTTTTGAAATATGTCTTTACGTATCAGGTGTCTGGATGATAGCTATGTCGGAATTTTCAGAGAACTATTAGTATTATCATCTGTGTCGTAACGTCGTCTCGTTCGTCAAGATGCTGCACAAATTTATCACATAGACGCGCATTCCTTTGTTTTCTTTAAAGATCCTTCTTGCACCTACTGTCGATTTTGCCTCGGTCAAGTCATGCAAGGGCAGCTTTTAACCGTCAGTTATTTCGACTGCATTTGCATTTACCGGTAACATGTTACATTACTATACGCTCACTACCGTACAGGGTTAATCAAGCCTGTTGGACGCATCCATGGTAAAGCTCACATTTGGCACTTTTCTTACACCTATGCATTAGTTCTCCATTCTGATCCTTTAAGGAAGTCAACATGAAAATGTTCTTCATACGTGGAAAACGAGGAGTTGTTGCTGTTGTAATTTAATACCGCTCAGTTCCTCATTAAAGTCGTTTATGAAAAGCCTCCACTTTGTGCTGTCGGGCAAGGTCGTTACAAAGCTGTGTATTTTTCTTTGGCAAAGCCATCAAGCTCGCATACATTTAATTAATGCTTCCAAATATACCGAGTTGAAGCTCTACGCATAAATCTATTATGTCAAGAGTATATCCAGTGCATTGCTATAATTAAAAGGGGAAAAATGCGGGCTCTAAAATGTTCGAGCGACGTGAATTTATGAATGCCGTTCACCGTCCAGTGTTGCTTGGCGTGCGACCAATCGCGCTACATATTATTCTGTACGTCCTCTGTTTTAATCTGATGGATAATATTTCTGTTTTATAATCTGACAGACTTTGTACTTTTCCCCGGTACTTTGTTGTTGCCTCGCGTCTTTTGACGTATTTGGGAGGAGACTGTACAGTGGGGATAGATGGATGGGGGAATGTAACCCTCCCATACTTGTTGCCAGGAGGTGGGCAGGGTCCCTTCCATATAAACACCCCTACCATCACGTCCAGATAGTGCACCATACACCATTAGGCCTAATAACTACTTGTGAAATTTATTTTCATCGTCGACTTAATATTCTTTCTTAACAATCGTCTTTACCATTGTCTCTGCCCACTACTCATAACCCCAAATCTACGCACTTGCCTACACTGCAGTATGTTACTATCCAGTGTTGGAGCTTAGAAAATAAATGTTTTTAGAAACTGTCTGGAAAGCATGTTATCCATAGAACGTATTAGGTCTGAGATGGTAACTTAGAAACAAATTGAAACATACTGATAAAAAAAGACAAACAGTTTGCTTTTTGGCGCCTGAGCATTTCCCTCAATTCAAGTGCAGAGAAATAAAATGGTTAAGTTTTAATCGAATTTGTTTGTGACAGATAATCAATCACACTTAGCTAAGAAAATAGGCATGATACATTTATCCCTGTTGAGGCCTTCTGTGACCGCTAAGAAATGTGATATTCAGTTGACACAGATTTTATACTGTGTTAAAGACATACAAACAGCCTACGTATAACCTGAAAGTCTGTGAAAAGTCCGAACGAAGATCACACTTATCGCGGCTTTGGACGTTCTTCTTCAATTATACTGTGATATTAAAATAAGGTTATTGAACACGGTCTGGTGGAAACCGGTGATGTGATGATAATAAAGACGATGGTAATAATGTAATTAAATCTTTTATTTTGAAGGCACTTGTGCCATGTGTAAATGGTTTTTCTCAGGATAATCGTTTCTTATTACGCGTAGCTAAGCTTTATCCGTTTGAAAGGATGGAATGTTATACTAAGTCTTGTAGAAATTACACCCCCCACACATTAAATACTGAAGAGCTTGTGTTCCAGCATTACCCTGGCATTAGGCTGACATTACTAAGTCAACTTTAGGTTCACTGTGAGACATCAAGCAGAAAATAAGTGCCAGTTCAATGCACGTTTCGACGTTGTGGAATCTGTACTTGTTGTTGCTGTTGCAAACTGGGTGTTTTGAATATCACATCGAGTGGAGGTTGGAGAAACATTGCAACCTCTCATCACGGGAAAATTTATCCAATGGTTGTATGTCTTTCAGGAATTGTGCACTTTGAGCTTGAAAAGTGGGGTGTTGGAAGGCACACGCTCAGAAACAACGTTCAGAAACCAAGAACAGGACAATAGTCTGCAGTCGTGAAATTGCGAATTGGCGTGTTTACTTTTTGCTCATTGTGAGATTCATGAATTAAGTGTAATACTAATTTTACCCACGTTTCTACTTTCCAAAGGAATGAAACCACTTTTTTTGTCATCTGACTGTTTGCGTAGTTGGCAATAAAACAATTACACTAACAACTGCGACGAAAGCATCACCGAATCAACCAGCACCTTACATGATAACGAGTTATTCATTGATTCTATTCATGACTGATTTGATCTCGAAAGGAGTAAGGTTACACGCTGTCATTTGTAAAAGTGGTTATTCGGGAAAAAGAATCGGCATATTTTCCCCTCCAAGTAGCGGAGCGGAAGGACCCTGGTGAATCACTGGCCGGAGAATGAGATGAATTGCGATGGTATCGTGCGGTATCATCGGACTGTCTTTCGCCAAGAATGTAAGATTGATTGTAAATCTGGCCGACTGTGTATTTGGACAGAGAACCAACACAGATATTTATGGTATCTGGCTCTTTGAAACAGTCAGGCAACCTATTCCGCTCACTAAAGCCAAGCTCATCTCTGCTCGTCGTCGGTAGATGAATCTACCTCTGCAACTACACTAACTCTCTAACTCTACACTAATCCAACTCTGCAAAAACAAAACACAAAGCCAAAACATGTATAACAACCCCTAATCAACCTCGGCTTGAGGGATGGCAGCTATTGGTCACATTCAAACTCTTAATTGCTAATGCTTTTTATCATGGTATTTTCATTTCTTTTTGGGTACAAAACGAGGTACTAGAGAAATTCTTAAGTGCTACCTTTCGGTCTTGTCTGCGGTCTGTTGGGACATCCAGCTGGCATACCTGTGTACGGTTATCAAGTTGTTTTTGTTCAAACCATTGAGCCTAAAATCTGCCGAACAAGCAGGAGTAAATCGAAGACACTGTGCATTGCAAGAATCGCTAACGGTGAAAGACATCAAAAAAAAGGGAAATGTGAATTTGAAGAAAAATCACTAACAGTACATTTGCTAATCATTTGTTACAACACCGTAAAGCGAACTCAACTCCATGCGACCTTTGAACGCTTTTTTTTAATTTCACGCACGAGCAACTTCGAATAGAGTTTTTACTTGTTCGAAGCGCAACTGTTGGTAACAAATGCAAATTCTACATGAGGGGAGTCCGTTTTTTGCATTTTAATGATGTCATTAAAATGCCATTTGACTGCCTGTATACACTTGTGTGTTCGTACAGGTTATTGTGTTGAGCTTTGTATAACCATCTGTTTCTCTACTTTTCAGCGTGTCCATTTTGTGGAGGAATGCGTGCGGATCTCTTTTGTCATGAACGTATTTTGTTCTTAACATAATTTGTCAACATGACTTTGGAACAAGGGACGCGTGCCACGCTGCGTATTCAACTTTCTAATGACGCTATCACACGGTTGCTCCTTCACACCGTTTCGAGGCCGGCCAGTAGTGAAGTTCCCCACTAAATTTCAAGAGGTTATACGATAATAAGGGAGAT